CTTGCTTTTCCTCCAGCTCCCCACATATCTGAAAAAGGACTTTTTATTGTCCTTGATGCTCAAAGCTAGTTGGAGTTCAGTTGCAGCCTTCGCTTTCCTGGTTTGCTCCCTGCAGGACTGGACCAGTGCAGAATATTCCTCCTTGAAGACACGTTCCCCATGTGCCACTTGAATCTTCTTCCCTTGCTCAATTTGCTGCTCCATTTTCTGCTCCCTGCTCTGGTGCCAGGCACCACACACAGGCTGTCCACACCACTTGTGCACACATGCTGCCAGATGGCCACCCTTTGTCTATGCCAACACACCTGCCACATGCAATAAAGGCAAATACTGAAAGGTAAATGTAGTTCTTGATCTAAACTGCTAACAACAACCTGCTCATCTTTAGAACAACATTTATTTTGAGTCTCCATTGTATGTTCAAGGTAAGGTAGTTCTCTGTGTGACTAGTTGATAGCTCATATGATCAAAATAATTCATTTTACTCTTAACAGGAATATTCTCTTAAACAGATGGCAAGGAAAGAGGTTACTCCCTGCTAAAGGATATTCTAGGACTTGATCAGCAGATTCTTGAAAGACTAATGATCTTCTATCATAAGATGTCTTGTTATATCTTGAACTGAGTATAAAAGTTAAGCTGATGTACACAGCAGCTTGATACATTTCAAGAGGGTATTATAGCAAAAAGTGTTGGCCAGTCTTTCTGACACCTCATTTATTTCTGGCTTTAGCATACGCTGAACATGACTATAAGAGGTCTTAATCTTTTCCTCCCCCTGCTCCTCCCTTCTACCTCGTTCCTCAAGGACCATAGTTACCATTGTCAAGACCTTCCTTCTGTTCTGTTTGTACATCTATTAAAATGAGATTTGGATCCAGCACTTGTACAAACCTTACTGTAAAAACAACACAGTTAGATCTGAGTCCTTATTATGTTTAAACCAAAGTGGTGAATACCTGTAAGCAAAGACCTATTAGCTAGTCATGCTTGTGTGTCACAAGGCATGTTTTAACTCAAGAAAACACTTTTAGAAACCCTTATACTTTGTATAAAATGTATACTGAACCAGATCTGCAATAAAATCAGATGCATTTTTCCTGGACACCAACTGCTTCCTATTGCTTGATAAGTACAGCTTTTCCAGCACCTATAATATCATCAAGGTACTTATACAAACAGACATGCTTCATGTAGAACCTGGACAATAGTCAGGACAGGAATACCTCTTAACACCCTAATGGGCGTTGAGCAAAATGGCGGATCCTGCTGGTAGTCGGACTCCATTTCCCAGCAGCTCCTGCCTGTGTGGCTGGGGCCAGCTTCCATGGAGACCCTGGCAGCAGCTGCACTGTGATAGTGCAGGGGCGGGGTTTCTGTGGAGACCAGCCCCAGCAGTGCTGGCAGGGTGGGGAGCTGCTCTGGGGCCGGGCTGGGATCTTGCAGCAGCATCAGCATGGTCCAGAGCTGGGGCCGAGCTACAACCTGCTGCCTGCACACCCCTGCCCAGAGCATGCAGGCTGCACATCACGGTTCTGCCCCAGCTCTGTCACCACTGCAAGATCCTAACCTGGCCCTGGAGCAGCTCCCTGCCCTGCCAGAGCTGCTGAGGCCAGTCTCCACAGAAACACTGGCCCCACCTATCACAGCGCAGCTGCTGCTGGGGTCTCCATGGAAAGTGGCTCTAGCCACATGGGCAGAGGCTGCTGGGAAATGGAGTCCACTGCCAGCCAGATCTGGTCCATGGGCCAGACTGTGCCTGCCTCTGCCCTAATGTATCAGCAAACAGTATCTCTTTCAACCCTGCAATTGTGTCAAGACAAACAGACAATGGCGCTTCTGGAATTAAAGGTTTTAGCTTTCCTAGGAAGCAGGTGCACACCTCAACATACATATTATACTTACATTTCTGGAGTCTTGGATTTGTTTTTCCCATTGAAGAACTCTGGAAGAGCACGGCGCTCAATTACATGAATGCTGGAAGAAACGTGAAAAGGAACAAAGTTATCAATGAGCACATACAAAATTCAACTGTGCAACACCTGAATTAACCTTCCCCTGCCCACAAAATGTGCACATGCAGTGCTACCACTTAAGTTAGTGTAGCTGTTTAAACCCATAACCAGGGTAGTCTGGAGGTGCTACGAAGATTTGGTCACTTGACATGAGCAAGAACATACCTGCTGAATGCTCCTTTAACTGGATTTTCAGCAAATGAGGAAAGA